AAGACCTCTCATGTGCTAATACTCTAGCTTTAGGATGTCAAGAGCAAAAGTTGTAGTACTGTTCGGCTTCATGGCCCTTGCTTTGTCTCTTTTTCCTGATGTTTGTGTGGCTCATTGTGTCAATTCTTCCTGTGGAAGCCTTATTGTAAGGCCCCCTTTCCAGCTGAAAAGTGATCTTATCAAGTGTGGTGACTCAAAGTATGAACTAGTTTGCGAGAACAACCGCGCCGCGTTGCTCACCAGTACATGTGGAAAATTCTTTGTGGAGGAAATCTCTTATGAGAACCAGACAGTTCGACTGCTAGATCCCAGTCTCGATAGGAATAAGTGTTCCTTTCCCTGCTCCCTTCTTCTTACATTTCCATGTGTGCGTCGGTTTTCCTTTTTTTCTCTCACCGAGAATAGCATCATGTATGTTTTAAATTGCAATATGAGGATGAACTCAGCACTCTATGTGGATGCCTCTAATTGCACCAATAGCTCTTCCTCTCCATACATCTACTTCTTTCTTTTCATTGATTACCAAACACAGGTTTGGGATTTCAATGAATCATGCAGAATTGAAGCCCAGTTTCCGGTCATGCTATCCAGTATCTCAGGCCTCTCTGCTTCTGATATTTACGATAATCTGCTAATGGGCTTGGAACTGAATTGGGATTGGTTCCACTACAATAAATCGGACTGCAGTATCGGTTGGCGTGAGAGGATGTAAGTATTCAAGAATTTCTTAATTTTTATTTCTTCTGAAGTACTTTTAATGAAACTTTATTTAGGATATCATAATTAACTTTAATAAGAGCACGCTCACATACGCTTGAAGTCTCAGAAATCATGATTTATGAGTTCCATTTTTTGATGTCCTAAGGAATACAGAATCATAATCTAGTAATAGAAGACTTGAATTTCCTATTCGTGTTGAAATCTAATATAGTTATCCATGTGATAGGAGACTTTCCCAAATTACCATCACCAACAGTATATGAAATTTGAAAGGAATTTTCCTACATCCATTAGATGCTATAATAAGTAGGCACATTTAGTCTGCACTCCCCTGTTCTGCATCATTGGTGGCCACGGCAGCCCATAAGGACTGCCGGTGGAATGCACATCGACCAGTACTCGAATCTTATCCAAGAATAAGTGCTAATTTCTAACTTTTAATTTTTAATTATTGTCTTTGTCAAAAAAAAAAAAAAAAAAAAAGAAACAAAAAAGTAGGCACACTTAGTCTTGTGCTAAACAGATGAAAATGTGACTACATAGTCTATCATTGAAAAACCAAACATGATAATCACCCTAAAAATATGAACATCCTTTTTTCAAGCAAATCAGAGAATAATTCAATTTCTTGTAACGGTGGATGGAACCAGGAAATTCAGTTAGGGGAGTGAAAATTATTGTTGAAGATTTGAGTTTTTAAGTATCTTTTAAGATACTAATTAATTTTTTTAAATCTTCTTTCTCTTATGAAAAGATTCACTTGTTTTTTTCATTGATATATTCTTAACAAAAATGAGAAATAAATGTATTTATTAAAATAAAAAATAAAATATCACAATAACAAATCACGAAATGATCAATTGAGGAATGATGAAAAAAATGAGGAATGATGAAAAAAAAAGGGAAATGTGTTTGTGAGCCAAATCTTTTAAAAATTAAGAAAAAAAATCATAAAATTATATTGTTTTAATAAATTTGTATTGAAAAAACAAAAAAAAACATTTTTAAATTATTTTAGAGTTAATAAACACTAATATTATAATAGATACTAAATTTTTTTTTTTTTACCAGGTAGATGGTTAGGAAGTTAGTAGAGTTAGTTTGTTAGCAGCTGGAATTTTTCTAGGAAAGTGAACGTTCCACCCCTCATTTGAGGCGCGCGACCATTAGGTCGCAAATCGGTGGAGTTCACGACAGTGACAGAGCTCGAAACCCTAATCTCCGCCTCACCCAAACCCTAAAGCTTGGGTGCCAACCAATTGGGCCACAGGCCCAGTTAACCTAATAAATACTAAAATATTTCTATTAAAAAGTGAAATCTAAATTAGATTGAGTTAATACAAAAAGTATATAATTATAAATTTAATCATGAAGGGTAAAAAATACCTACCTCAACGTCAAAACAATACCTTTAAATTATTATATAGAATATTAAGAAAGAAAATAGAAAGAATACTAAAAAAAAACTTTTAAATTTAAAGTTGTTTAAATAGATAATTAAATTTTTTTTTTTTGGGTTTAATGGATGAGGAAATGTTTAAGAATCCTAATCGCTAATTAATTAAATTGACATAGCGATCATTTCATTTGAATCATATTCTTATTTTTTGAAAATTTTTTATTTAAATTCTAAATATTTTCTCTACATTTAAAGTAGTCTTTAAAATTCATTTTACTAAAAAAAAAAATTTAACAAATAAAAGTTAGAGTACTATATTAAATGTTTTTCAAAAGTTTGGGGGGCGGCTAACCCCCTTGTCATTCATTGGCTCCGTCCTTGCCTGAGAAGATTAAAGAAATAACTTACAAGAGTTTTATTTATATATATATATATATATATATGAATGCAGAAGAGTTATCAAGTTTATAATATATAACATATCAAACAATTATTAATAATTAATAAACTAATAATTAGTAATTTAATGTCTTGTTAACTAAGTTGATGGTTCAAGTCTTAAAATTATTACACAAAAAAATTAATTTTTATTAAATATATTAAATTGATATAAATAATACACCCTTAAAATCGCATTGAAAAAAATTACTCCAAACTAGTCTGTCACCACAACTATCCCAAAAAAAAATTAAAAATAAAAAGCAACTTAATTATATAAACGATACAACCTTTCACGGTACCTACCACCTACCATTGTAAACTTCAAAAAGGGAGGGAGGGAGAGATCACAATAGCCACTTATCCTTCAGCACACAACTTCCTATATAATGTCACTTCCATGTCTGCATAAATTTTGTACTGGCATTCCATTTAGGTATTAGAGTTACACGTAAACTATGAAATCTCTGGAGAGTACATAGTTTGATATTCATGCTCATGCAACTCCTCTCATCACTACGCATGCTCCAATGTGCATCAATAGAAATTAAAACTCTGGGCATGACACCCACTTTTAACCATCCAATCAAAATCCATTTCGCAGCTTGGTCTTATATAAGGATGCATAAATTGGATCTCCGAGACCACATTTTTTTGACCTTTTAGATGATATTAAGCTTGTATTTAATGACTTGCCTATTGACTTAAGGATTTAATAAAACTACTAAAAACAACACAGACAATTCAAAAGCAAAAAAGGATGAAGACATCAAAAAAAAAAAAAAAAGCAAGAGAAGATGAAATAATGACTTTGTCTATCAACAGTAAGCTTGACTTGAACACCCTGTGACATAGACATATCGGATATATTGTATTCAAAATCACGAAAGAAATTACCTATAATTGTGACAAATAAACAGCATAAGGAAAAGAGTGACCTAGTTACCGGCCTCAAAATCCGTAGAGAAACAAAGGAATTCAGTGGAGGGATTCAAATTAGCCTTTTGAGTCATGGCAGTTTTCGCATTTGAGAAGGGAAGAGTTAGTGGGAGAGAAGTGAGGAGAAATAAACCTTGAGAGATGTCGAGAATGTGCCTTGAAAATTAATGCTTGAAGCGCTTGGACAAGAATAAAGCCCCTCAAAATTAGTTCAGTATTAAATAAGCCCTTCCCTTGTACTGCACAATCATTAATTGATCAAAATTACATATCCTAACCAGAGAATATGGGAAAATTAACAATATGCGTGGTTGAAGGGACTTAAATGGCATGAAAGTTACTCTAAGGGACGTATTTGGGACGGAGGGTAGTGGAGGCTTGATTAGAAAATTAACAACTTAATTAAGGGGACCAATACTAGGATTATTCCTATGAGGTTTTTAATGCTCTTCTGTTTGATGTTCTTCAAATCCTTTTCATTCTTATATCCATCGCCTTACCGTATACTGATATCTCTTCCTGCTTATCTTTTGTTGAATGTATATTTCAGTAGGACCCTTGTGCATTATTTTCAGTATTTACCTTGGGACTTTAAACATTTAATTCGAGGACAAGTATATATTTTTTACCAATACTATAAAGGTATGCTGTTCTAATTCAATCTTTACTGGCATTGATACTTATTCCTTATGACCATATCTTTACGTGCTTACATATTTTTGTAATTTGTTATTGTAACAGATCCTGATACCATATTTCTCGAAATAACAGGTTAGTCTTAATTCCACATATTCAAAAAAAAAAAAGGAAAAGAAAAAAAGAATTGCTTCTTGGGTAATAGAGACTTATAGCAATGTGATGTGATCCTGTTCCTAATTTTTTGTGATAAGGTGGACTTATTTTGGCAAGAGCTTTGCTAGGGCTATCTATCCTGATTGCAGTTATTGTGTACAAGGTCCGCAGGAGACATTTGTCTGTAGATGATACAATTGAAGAGTTCCTTCAAAAGCATAACAACTTCTTGCCTGTTAAGTACTCCTATTCTGAAATAAAGAAAATGACTAGAGGTTTCAAGGATAAATTAGGGGAAGGAGGTTATGGTTCAGTTTTCAAAGGAAAACTTCGAAGTGGCAATTTAGCGGCAATAAAATTATTGGCCAAATCAAAAGCTAATGGCCAAGATTTCATCAATGAAGTTGCCACCATTGGAAGGGTTCATCATGTTAATGTGGTGCGACTAATCGGATTTTGCGTGGAGGGATCTAAACGAGCTCTTTTGTATGATTTCATGCCAAATGGATCCTTGGATAAACTCATATTTTCTGGTGAAAACAACACATCTTTAACGTGTCAAAGAATGTTTGAAATTGCTCTTGGAGTGGCTAGGGGGATTGAATACTTACATCGAGGATGTGAAATGCAAATTCTACATTTTGATATCAAGCCACAAAACATCCTTTTGGATGAGAACTTTAATCCAAAAATTTCAGATTTTGGTCTTGCAAAATTATATCCAAGAGATGACAGTATTGTATCTCTTACTGCAGCAAGAGGTACTCTAGGATACATGGCTCCAGAATTATTCTACAAGAATATTGGAGGTATCTCATACAAAGCTGATGTCTATAGCTTTGGAATGTTGTTGATGGAAATGGTGGGAAGGAGAAGGAATTTAAATGCATTTGCTGACCATTTAAGTCAGATATATTTCCCAAAATGGATTTATGAACGTTTTGATCAAGGAGAGGATATAGAGTTGGGAGATGTTACTGATTTTGAAAAGAATGTTGTAAGGAAGATGGCCATAGTTGCCTTGTGGTGCATACAAATGAAACCTGTCATTCGTCCTTCCATGACCAAAGTCTTGGAGATGCTTGAAAGTGAAGTTGAACTCCTTGAAATGCCTCCTAAGCCTGCTTTTGTTCCTTCCGAATTATCAGCTCTAGACCATGGCACTAGAAGTCCAGCAGCTGCGCCAACTATGTCGCTTGATGGTAGATCCTAACGGTCTACTCCAAATGCATTTCTAGGTAAATGCAAATTCAGAGCAAGTAGTATTGAATATTTTGCCATAATCTTGTATTGTTGATTTGGTAGATGACCCACTGAGTTTTCATCATGTAAAATATATCAGATTCCTTGGGCATTTGGTTGATTTGTATGATGTGATAAAAATCACCTTAGCAAATGTACTAATCACTTCAAGTAATATAATGATTCAAATAACATAATGATAAAAAGAGAGTTGAATTCATGAGGATTGTGTTTAACTAAACATTAAAAATAATTAATTTAAATTTATTTGCATAATTAAAAAGGAAAAAATTTTAATTAAAACAATAAAAAAAAATAACAATTAAATAAAGCTAATCAAGATGAGGTATTAAGGTATTGATTTTATCATAATTAATCAATATAAATTTTGAATTAATATGCTTTCAAAATCAATTTATTGAGTATTATTGTTATTGTATGTGATAGTAAATTTTTCTAAATTAATTAACTAATTTTTTCAAGTTAAGTTAACTAATTACTTATTTGTTAAATTAGTTATATCTCTATGTAATTTAAAATATGTAATTTAAAACAAACTAATAAATATTAAATTATATGAAAACCTC